GCCGATTTAGTAACCTTCCTCATCGATTCACAGACGGACGTGGCCCTTATCCAAGAACCTTGGATTAACAACAATAAGGTTCTTGGTTTAAGGGTCAAAGGTTACACCTTATTTGTCCCGTCTTCCGAGGACAAGGTAAGGACTTGTATCCTGGCAAAGAATAAATTAGGTTTTCTCATTTTTCATTCTTTTAGGAGCGGTGACATAACCGTAATAAACAGAGAAGCCAAAAGTAGGCGTACGCTCACACTGGCTTCGGTGTATATGCCGTACGAGGCGACTGACCCACCCGGCTCTGAGGTGCGTGAGCTGACGGCATATGCGAAAAGAAAAAGTGCGATCCTTGTGATGGGCTGTAATGCTAATGCTCATCATTGCCAATGGGGCAGCAAGGATATCAACAAAAGAGGTGAGTTAATATTTGACTTTATAACTGATAATAATCTCATCATCTGTAACAAGGGCGATACGCCGACGTTCAGGAACAAGGATAGGGAGGCAGTTATAGATTTAACTTTAATTAACCGTTTAGAAGATCTCGTTAGGGATTGGAAGGTTGCAACGGACTGTTCATTCCCGGACCATAGCCGCATTACCTTCACACTGGATTTTGTCTTGGCTAGGAGTCCACCTTTTAGGGATCCTAGGAAAACAAATTGGGGAACCTTTAATGATAGGGTAGAGTCTGTATTGGCACAACGGGCCTTGTGCGATTTGTTGCCAACTGATTTAGAGGGGGTTGTGAACGAGTTCACAGACCTACACTATCGGACAAAATAAAGTGCAAAAGTACTCATGTATATTCTTTCAGCGAAAATCGGTTAAATGATTATTGAATATGGAATTTTTTTTCAAAATCATTTAGTTTATATACAATGCTACAAAAATAACAATAAAACTAAATTATTCTACTTAAAATTTTTCTGCATAACATCTAAAATTAAAATAAATTCACTTTTTTGTCGGACAAAATAAAGTGTAAATTTTATATATCATTATTTAAATTTCTTGTATATCAAAATTTTTTATCTATTTTGGTTCTGATTTTAATATCTGTATCTATTTAAGCCATTTTGGTAATTTTGTTCTCCATTATTATTCGCAATCGCTTTCCCTTCCCCTTGCTATCCCCATATGATAATTTTCAAAAGAAATACGTTTTTGATCACTATTTCATCGGAATTTTTTGATAAATTGTGGTCCAAAATTAATCTATTGGATTTAGGGCGGTGCTCTGAGCAACTTATTTCTATTTTCAGTGATTTTTCCTACAGTATTGTTATTTTTTATCTTTATCAAGTGCTTAAGCTTATTATCTTGCCGAAATATAAAGTTGCCCAAGTCCATTTCGAAGGCACTGATCTTAAGATTTCACTGCAATATGCTCATATAGTGTTCATTGGAGCTTTTTGAATAAATTTCACCTAGGTTCCCCACCTTCAATCTTTCACCAACATATTTAAAAGCTTAAAATTTTTTTTCGATTTTAGTATTTAATTTCATATTTTTTAGATCAAATTTACGTAGTTGGTCAGATGAGTCCCAATTTCTACCGAAAATTTTGAAATGTCGACAATGAGTGTGAATTAAGCCCTTCAATATACAAAATTTAAAAAACAATACCCCAGGTTTCAAATATTATGGTGGAGGGCTATCGGTATTGTTACATTATTCAACTTTAAGAGCGAGAATCTTAGTGAAAATGGAGTAACTAATAACAAATGAGCAATTCACGAGCTTATTTAATAAAAATTTGGAAATAAATGCCGTAAAAATGGGTTTGGGAGACTTAATGCCTCAACCGATTCATGACTTCAAACACACGACTAAGGTTAAAAACATTATTGTAAAAAAAAACACTGAAAAATTTGAATGACCTGCTCAGAGCATCGCCCTAAATCTAATAGATTAATATTTGACCACAATTGATCACAAAATTCCGCTGAAATAGCGAACAAAAAAGGATTTCTTTTGAAAATAATAGTATGGGAGAAAGCAAGGGAAAGTGAAAGCGATTGCGAATAATAATGGTAAAATAATTACAAAAATGACTTGAGTAGATCCAGATATTCAAATCAGAACCAAAATAGATAAAAAAATTTTGATATACATGAAATTAAAATAATGATATATAAAATTTACACTTTATTTTGTCCGACAAAAAAGTGAATTTACTTTAATTTTAAATGTTATACAGAAAAATTTTAGGTGGAATAAATTTGTAAACTAAATGAATTTAAAAAAAAAGTTCCATATTCAATAATCATTTAACAGATTTTTCGATAAAATAATGTAGCATGAGCACTTTTGCACTTTATTTTGTCCGATAGTGTACTTAAGGGAAGCTATGAGCTATCTTGTCCGGTTACTTTCCCGGGCAAAAGAGAGCAACCTAAGTGGTGGACCAAGGAACTTAGACTTCAAAGGTCGACTGTTAGGAAATTGTTCAATAGGGCCAAGCTTACTGGTCGAGCAATTGACTGGAACAACTATAAAATGTGTTTCAATAAGTATAAGGCTGATCTCAAAAGGGCTAAAAGGATTTCATGGTCCCAGTACTGTGAATCCATAGACAATGTCAACGAGTTATCAAGATTCCGACGGATATTATCTAAGGACCCAAGGGTCATAGGGTATATCCAAAGGTGTGATAACTCATGGACTGAGTCTAGCTCTGAGACCCTAGCTCTGCTAATGGAAACACATTTTCCGGGTTGTCTTGCAACTGAAGATGTGGTTGACGACCAACGGGACTTCGAGTCTGTGGCGCCAAGTAGCACCTACAGTTGCATAGAGGAGATAGTCACTAGGGAAAAGCTAGTATGGGCGGTTAATTCATTCGACCCCTTCAAGTCACCGGGGCCGGATGGTATATTTCCAGCTCTACTAAAGAACTTGCCTCAGGACGCTATATCTCTTCTGATGAAGATTTTTAAGAGATGCCTTGGTAGTAGGTATTTACCAAAGAGGTGGAGGGAGGTTAGGGTTATTTTCATACCAAAGGCCGGTAAGGTAAGCCACTCAAAGCCAAAGGATTTTAGACCTATCAGCCTGTCTTCTTTTCTTTTGAAGACACTTGAGAGACTGATAGATCTACATCTAAGGAACAATATTGATACTCGCCTCATTAGTGGCGCTCAACATGCCTACCTTAAGGGTAAATCTGTTGAGAGTGCACTGCATGAGGTGGTAAGTTGTGTTGAGCACGGCTTGAAGAATAATTATTATACTCTGGCTGCGTTTTTGGACATTGAGGGAGCCTTCAATAATATAAGGATTGAGGCTATTAGAGATTCGCTTATAGGGCTCGGAGTTCAGGACTTCCTGGTGAGTTGGATAGTCTGTATGCTTAGCAGTAGAATTATTAACTCGACCCTAGGGGATCATTGCATTAGGAGAAGGGTTACCAGGGGGACACCACAGGGAGGTGTTTTATCTCCTCTTCTGTGGCTACTAGCGGTTAACGGTATCCTAAGGCTATTTGAATCTAAGGGTAGGAAGATAGTTGCCTATGCGGACGACGTGGTGATACTGGTCAAAGGAAAATTTCTATCCACGATCAGTGACATCATGGAGACTGCATTAGGTGAACTCTCGCTATGGGCGAAAGATAAGGGACTGGGTGTTAATCCTTGTAAAACGGAACTGGTACTATTTACCAGAAGGTATAAGGTAGACAATTTCAGATTGCCAAAGTTAGATGGCGTCGAATTAGGTTTATCTAGAGGAGCTAAGTATTTAGGGATCTTCCTTGATAGCAAGCTGTCATGGAAGGAAAATACTCAGGAAAGAATGAAAAAGGGTCTCAATGCCTACTACACATGCAAGAATTCCATAGGGAAGAATTGGGGTCTGCAACCAGATATGGTAAATTGGATTTACACATCGGTTGTCAGGCCTATTCTAACCTATGGTTGCATTGTCTGGTGGGAGACATTGAGAAAGGACAGTTACAGGAAGTTGCTCAATAAAGCTCAAAGGTGTGCCTCCATTGGCATTACTGGTGCCATTAGAAGTACTCCGCAAGCGGCCTTGGACATCATTCTGAACCTGTCACCTATAGAACATTTTGTAGCGGGTGTGGCGGCTAGGAATCTACTAAGACTCTACGAGTCTTCGTTAGTGAAACCCTCGCGCGACAATCATACAAAAATTTTGTACGAAGTAGGTCTGCTTGATCATGGTAATTCCCTTCACGGAATTACGGATTATGATATTACGACTCTAGACTTCGGGGAAACACCTTTGATAGAATTTCCAACTAGGGATGATTGGCTTGTATCCGATAGACTGTTTGGAGGGTGTGCAGTTTTCACTGACGGGTCCAAGATGGATACCGGCACGGGTGCCGGTATTATTTAATACCTTTTGAACAACTGTGTTTATTTTTGTGCTTCTACTAATACATTCTTACCAGTTAGGTTTTTGACAGGGGACTTAGGTCTTTGACAATCCCTTTCGCCTATATGCTACTATATGGTTGTCTGTTGGTTGAAAGCACGATAGAGTCCGAATGGAACGAGCTAGAGGGTTGAAATTTCACATAAATATTTCTTATAGGTAAGGTTTGTTTGGTATTGAAAATGAGCAATATCGGTCCACGTTTTCGGATAGCCCCTCGAAAAGCAGCTTTAACAGTCATAACAAATTATTAACGCTTATAACTGGCCTAAAAATACGAGTATATAGATGAAATTCGACATAATTAAGTTTCATTCGAGTCAAACGAGGTTTTATGGTGGGTATATAAAATTCGGCATAGCCGAATATAACACTCTTACTTGTTTTTTAAATCATTTCAAAAAATGAAAAGAACCATACGACTGTCAAATTTTCCATCCGTTCTCTTCTACACAAAATTTTGACAGATCATATTACTTGTGTTCTCGTGTGAAGGGGGCTTTAATAATATCATAAACAAAATAAAATAGTGAAAGAAATCACGTAAGAAAGGATTGGCTACTGGATATCCACCAATTTCAGCTAAAAAAACTAATTCATGCATCAATACAATATAAATTAATTTTATTTTATCATATATATATTTTTTTAAACTTGTTCTTTTTTACCTATTTTGTCACAGCTAGATACTGCAAAGTAAAAAAAATACTGCATCATTATTTAATTTTTAATGGAATATTAATACGCAGATATTAAAATGAAAATCTACATTTGTATACATATACATATCTATATATGTATATAAATTATAAATTAATAGCTAAAATATGTTTAATGAAGTGTAATCCAATAAGTTATAATAGAAGCTTTCGAATTTCTTCTTTTTCTGCCACATCTATATATTTACTTCCATCGGGTGTTTTACCTTCTTTATCCGCTCCCTAAATAAATGATGACTTGAAAAAAATTGTATATGTAGTTAACATAGATATATACCTTCTCTAAAAGTAACTGGACACAATTCGTATGACCCTCCCAAATAGCAGCTAATAATGGAGTAATTTCATGTTTATCTGTTACCTGTAAAATTTTAAATACTATAGTATTCTACACTAAAATAAAAAATAACAATAATACTTACATTGACTTTTGCGCCGATGCTTATAAGGTAATCTAAGACATCATATTGTCCGTAATCAGCTGCATAGTGCAAAAGATACCTCCCGTTTAACTCGGAATTTATATCTATAGACTACAAATATAAAAAATATATGTACATACCTTTGTACATTAGACCAGCTCACTCTGTATGGAAAGCAAAAACTTGTCTTTGTTACCCCTCTCAAAATTTACTTTGCTTTGTTTTATAATGATTCCCAAAATATTTTAAGTCTAGCGATGGCCGTTCGTGAGCTGGACCAAATTTAAAAAAGGTATTTTTGAATTGTTTTTTTTTAATTTTTTTTTTTTTTGAAAAAATATATTCAATATGGAGTATCGTTCGAAAGGGGTTTTAAAGCCGCGTCCAATGCTGTATTAATCATAAAAAACCTGCTCATAAAAAAGTCTGCTCATAATAGTCATATTACAAAAAATTTTAAATTGTATGGTTTTTCATTAATATAAATAAAATGTATGCACAATTTTTCAAATTTTGCACACCACTAGACGCGACTTTAAAAAACCTTTCAAAAGATATTTTGTTTAAGAAAAAACTGTAAAATTTAAAAAAAATAACTAAAAAAAGACTTATTGTAACCGGTCCAGCTCACGAACGGCCAACGATAGACTATAGGATATTTTCTTGAGAACTGTTCAGCTCACGAACGGACAACATTAAACACAAAATATTTTGGGTAACATCATATTACAAAACAACGAATATTTTGAGGCGGGGTAACTCAAGCACCATTTTTTGTGAGTCGGTCTAATATACATGTGTATATATAATTTCTACGTCTAATATACACTATCAGATAAAATAAAGTGCTAAAGTGCTCATGTTATATTCTTTCAGCGAAAAATCTGTTAAATGATTATTGAATATTGATTTTTTTAATTCATTTAGTTTATATACAATGCTACAAAAATAACAATAAAACAAAATTATTCCACCTTAAATGTTTCTGTATAACATCCAAAATTAAAGTAAATTCACTTTTTTGTCGGACAAAATAAAGTGTAAATTTTATATAACATTATTTAAATTTCTTGTATATCAAAATTTTTTATCTATTTTGATTCTGATTTGAATATCTGGATCTACTTAAGACATTTTTTTTATTTTTTTTACCATTATTATTTGCAATCGCTTTCCCTTCTCCTTGCTTTCCCTCATACGATTATTTTCAAAAGAAATCCGATTTTGTTCGCTATTTGAGCGGAATATTTGATCAATTGCGGTCAAAAATTTATCTATTGGATTTAAGGCGATGCTCTGAGCAGGTCATTCCAATTTTTCAGTGTTTATTTTTCTCACAGAAATGTTTTTAATCTTTGTCGTGTGTTTGAAGTCATATATCTGTTGAGACATTAAGTCTCCCAAATCCCTTTATACGGCATTTATTTCAAAATTTTTATTAAATACTCTCGTGAATTGCTCATTTGTCATTGTTTACTCAATTTTCACTAAGATTCCCTCTTCTAAAGTTGAATAATGTACCAATCATACATGGGAATTTTTCATTAAGCATTAAAATTTCATTACCATTTATAGAAAAAATTGTAATGAAAAATATTTTAAGTACCATTTAATGAAAATTATATTTTTTTCATTATAACTTTTTTGATAATGGTAATGAATTTGATAATGAATTTTTAAAAACGAATTTAATTAGTATTTATAATTGTCGAAAAATATATTATGGAAAATTTTTCGAAGATTCGAGGTTTTAAAGCTTTTAAAACCAGTTCCCGTAGCCCAAATTGGCTGAAATTTTGCAGTCATAAGTACATCTGATGACAATACAATAATATGTTCGAATATTCGAAATTAAGTTCGAAAATTCGAAGTTATTTTCGAAATTTTTTTATGTTTTTAAATTAATCTCTGTGTCATAAAACCTAAAAAAAAATTCGAAAATTCGAACTCGAGTTCGAAAAATTTTTAAAGCTAATGACAATACATTATAATGTTCGGATATTCGAAATTAATTTCGAAATTCGAACTAATGTTCGAACATTTTTAAAATCCATTGAATAATGGTAATGAAAATTTATTTTTAAATAATTACTAATGAAATCGTTTCATTAAAAACCATTACCATTAGACAAAATAATGCTAATGAAAAAAAAGTAATTATAATTTTTTTCAATTTAATGCTAATGAAATCGTCAATTAATTAGTCGATATAATTAACTACTCCCATGTATGGTACCAATACCGATAGCCCTCAACCATAACGTTTAAAACCTGGGGTATTGTTTTTAAAATTTTGTATATTGAAGGGCTAAACTCAGATTGAAGAAATGGGTCAGTTGACTCTTCGTATGTGTCCAATTTTTAACGTTAGGTGTGGGGAACCTAAGGAAATTTATTAAAAAAGCTCCAGTGAACACTATGTGAGCATATTACAGTCAAATCTTAAGATCAGTGCCTTCGAAATGGACTTGGGCAACTTTATATCTCGGAAAGATAATAAGCTTAAGCATAAAGTTAAAAAATAACATTACTGTAGGAAAGAACAAGAGAAAAATTGGAATAAGTTGCTCAGAGCACCGCCCTAAATCAAATAGATTAATTTTGGACCACAATTGATAAAAAAAAATACGATGAAATAGTAATCAAAAACGAATTTCTTTTGAAAATAATCATATGGGGAAAGCAAGGGGAAGGGAAGGCGATTGCGAAAAACAATGGGGAAAAAATTACCAAAATAGTTCAAGTAGATCCAGATATTCAAATCAGAACAAAAAAAGATAAAAAAATGTTGATATACAATAAATTTAAATAATGTTATATAAAATTTACGCTTTATTTTGTCCGACAAAAAAGTGAATTTACTTTAATTTTTGATGTTATACAGAAACATTTTAAGTGCAATAATTTAGTTCTATTTTTATTTTTGTAGCATTGTATTTTAACTAAATGATTTTGAAAAAAAAAATCCATATTCAAGAATCATTTAACCGATTTTTCGCTGAAAGAATATAGCATGAACACTTTTGCACTTTATTTTGTCCGATAGTGTACATGTACGTACAAATAATAGAAAAATATTCAGTTAAAAGTAAATTTCTTTTAAAACTTTTGATTACAGTATGATTATCCTTAATTTAGAGCGGGGTTTTGAGTTGGTAATCAAATGCCAATTAATAATCAGATTAGTTAATCTAAAAATAAATTTAATCTGATGTTAATCCCCTTTGATGTTTTTGATTACAAGATTAAACTTCGCAGTGTTGAAATAAAAAACAATAGAAAAAGTTACTGTTTTTTATCAAAACAATTCATGTTTTATAATAAAGAAGAAGACAATTGTAAATTAAATATGAAAATTAATGAAAACTTGAATTTAAAACAAAAAAATGTATTTTGAAGTCTCCATAATTTATACTAATCAGAGACAGTAACTGTTATAAGTTTTATTATAAAACTTAAAATTTAATAATTATTCTTCAAGCAAAATTTTTTTTCCTCAAAAATAAAACTTATTACTTGATTTTTATTTTTTGTTTAAGAAATAATTATTATTTTTGAGTTTTATATTTTTGCTTGAAAAATAAAAGTTATTCTTGAGTTTTATATTATTTTCTTCAAAAATAAAACTTAATATGAAAATATATTCTTACAAATAAATGAAATTTTGATTAAAATGTTATTATAACATTAGAAAGAAGTAGTTGCGTTATATTAAGGCAAGCCGAATCTTATATGTATTGTCACCATCTAAACGTATCTAATAAACTTAAAGTGAGTTTAGAAGGAGGTCTTAAGAAGATGATTATGTATCGATCTATTCGGAATTCTTTATTACGATTAACTAACTTATTTTCTTAACACAGTACCTAATATATTATGATATATCGAAACAATATGTGCCTTAGGGAGATTTTCGAAAGAGTTCCTTTTATGGGACTTAGGTTATTTAGGTACCGAACTCTGCGTTAAACTACCTTTTTCAACTTTTCAAATGAGACCTAATTTTCGCCACATTTTACATGTGATTTCGGACTACTTATACTCTTGGTTATTATTTGATCACAATTGCTATATAATAAACATGTTTATAAGAGTTTAAACTTTATTCTGGAAGGACTTTTCAGAATAAATTTCAGCATCCTTGCTTTTCCCGTTTGCACTATACAGTGCATCCAACAGACAGAGTACAACGTTTTTTACTACATCGTCTTAGAATATTATAAGGACCCAGAATACGATGAGTTACAAACGAAATGACAAAATCAGATTACCCCAATATTGGGTAAGTGTTTATGCAATCCGAAAATCTTTGACATAGACATAAAAATCCGAATTAGAAACTAAACCTTATATTGGATGCACATATTCCATATTGAAAATTTTATCAATATCAATATTATGATAGCTATGCGTTTTAGATAGTGAAGAGTTAAAATTCATACTTTTCTTTTTTTGAAAATTTCTTAAGAAAAGCTTAAAAACTACATTCAATATTATAAAAAGTCATTTCTCTAAACATTTTATAAAAGAAAATGTTTTCATATTGAGTTTTATTTTTGAAAAAAATAAAATAAAAGTCAAGAATAATTTTTATTTTTCAAGTAAAAAAGAAAACATAAAATTGATTTTTATTTTTCAATGAAAAATATTAAAATCAAAAATAATCGTTATGATTTAAACAAAAAAATAAAACTATTTTTTTTGCATCAGCTGTTTACACTTTTGCATTTCTTGCTCAAGTTTAAACTACCTGTATTGGGCGCTTAAACTAGCAAACAAAATTAACTGAGTACTGAAAAACAACTTTCGAGGATTAGTTTTAATTTAATCCGTAATCGTTCACCTAATTTTGGAATTTGACTTTTATAACTCAAAAATATTTTATTAGCATTAAGGCGATAAAGGCATTGGGAAATAGAAAGAAGTCATTGCTGAACATAACGTAATATTTTAGCACGATTTTCTTTATTTCATCATGATGTTGATATCGATTTTTTCATTTTGTTTCTAACACGTTGTTCAAGCCAATAAAAGGTTAGGATTTTGCTAAGCGTTAATAAATCTTAATATCGATATTCAATTTTACTCTAATAATCCACATAATTTACATA